TTGTGACGCTGATGTCAATGTTAGTATTGTATAGAAGGCTCGCTCGCCAAGACGGTGTATAATAATAACGACTCTCTTTGTTATAATAATTTAAACTTTATTGTTGAGTCGACTTAAGATTTGTTCGAAGCGGGCGGTAGGTGATGCTTGTCCGATAATTGATGCGTTCTATTAGATGCGTGCACATGTAACTCGCACTTGATACGACGTTGAATAATTTCTCGCAACCGTTAGGCAGAATTCGTATTGCGAACAGCAACGAGATCAGCAAATCTCGCCGGAAATTCAGGTAATTCTCGCGCACTGAATGCCCTCGCAGTACGCGTATATTGGTAACGTAACGGGACACAATACAGCGTTGATATTCGACGACACTTCGGTGTGATTCGCCCTAAATATTCGGGATAAGATGCGTTAAGCACGAATATCGATAGATGATCCGTATTGATCGAGATCGAGAAGCGAACTGAACTTTCGCACGCGGAACGTATGCGCGATAGTCAACTTTTCAAATGTCGCGCAAGGGAGGTCGCGTGCCATTTTAGAGAGATTGCGTGATTAGAACAGAAGCGAGATATACTCATGTTTTGAACGAAATGTCGGTCGCAGGCGTGATCGAACAGGGACAGCTCGGTGTCTATGAGTTGTTTACTTACCATCCCTGAGAATATGTTTGAAATAACGATGAGTCCGGAACATACCGCCCGCCTCGAATATTGGCATTCGAAATAATTCGCATCAAAGCACACAAGATACAATAATGGTATAACAACGAAAATGATTTGATACAAAATACAAAGATCATGACGCAATACAATCAGAACTTAAGGTTCGCGATACCGATAACATCAGGCATGTTCAACGAAAACTCCGCCCGCCGTGACGGAATCTTTAGACTCTTCGGTATTGATCATGACAGGTAGAAAACAAAGTTTCACAATTGGTCGCTTGTACTCGGAACGACCTGTTTTTACAGTTACGATGCGAGTTAAATCATCGCCGGGGTGACACATCATGATCCAACCAAGTTCCTATCTGGCTCGATGGAGCCAGAGAGTTACGCACGAGGATGATTTGACCTACTTTGGCCAGTCGCTGGACAACGCACCATTTTGGACGTTGTTGAAAGATATGCAAGTAACCGCCGGACCAAGACCTTCAAAAACCTTCAGTTATGTGTTGAACCATTTGCCAACGCGAAAGTCTATTTTCATTTAAGTTAAGCACGCTTGGTTCAGCGAGAACAACGACAAGAGAGGTTCCGATCAAAAAATGACCAGGAGTCAGAGAATGATAATCGTCGAGATTATCGAAAACGGGAGCGATCGGGCGCGAATTAAGGCACGTCTCGATCCGACAGAGAAGCGTAGACATCTCTTCAACAGTTAGTATAGAGGCCGATGCATCGTTTTAAATGATGCTTAACACTTTTAATGCCGGCCTCTCATAGACCGTCGAAGTGCGGCGATGCAGGGGGTAGGAAGTGCCAGTTCCGTCGGTTGCGGAAGTTGGGATCGCGAATTGCTTCGCATGGACATCGGACAATTCACGATGCCGTGTAACGTTCCATTATCAGAATACATGGACGTCGATAGTCCTTGGCGAGAAACAAATCGTTGATACGCTGCGATAAAGACAGAAGAGGTATAATCGCTGACGAGCTCTAAATATAGAGCCTTGGTCGTGAGGCATACGAATAACGCGATATAGGCCTTTTGCAATTTATGCCCTCGACCAGGAATCGTTCGAACAGCAATCGGATCTGTATAATCAACCGGTATGAACAAATGCGGGAGCGGTGCGATTGACTCTCGCAGCTGGGAGGTCGCCCATGAATTCGGCGGGTACGTCGGCACGTTCACGCGTGCATGATATGCACTTATAAAGAACGGATCGAACGGTAGCAGAAGCACGGAGAATCCAGAATTCATGTCGCAATAATGCGAGCGTTAATTGAGAATCGGCATGCAATGTTCTCAGATGATGGTGCTGGATAATAAGTACTAATAGCGGGTGTGCGCGTAAGACGATGAGATTCCTGGTTGCTCCTGGAAAGCAAGCTTGACGGAGTCTTCTTCGAATACGAATAAGTCTATCCTCGTCCATATAAGGATTGAGAGAGCGGGCTGTTCTTCGGCTAATGTTTTAGAGTAGTGATCTGCTTAAGAAACATGTCTGGCTGCATTGTTTTGAGCCGGCAGCGTTTGGCGTTCTGAATTTCATCAGGCAGCAAAGTTGTTGTATTAGCTTGCGGGTTTTTAGAATATCGGAGTCGATTTAGAAAACGGTACAGGTAAGCGGTAATTCGTAGCAATTTTGGCCACAAAGAATAACGCGACGCGAGATCATTGGTGTAGCGTGCAATGCATATACCGGAGGCTCTGGGCGTTGTTCGAGAGGAACATACCGGAGAGTACCGATTTCGATTAAGATTCGGGAGAATGATGTAATCATGGAGGTCCTGACCATCATAAATCATGTGTCTCGAAAAGATCGGGAGCGAGATTGCGAGATGCGCAATCCGCGAAATTGGTGAGTGTCGGGACATGACACCAAGAAACTCCAGGAAGGAGTGATTGCACAACCGAAACACGATTGGTGATAAAAGTTTTCGGAAAGGTAACTGACTCAGCGAATGTAATGGTGGAATTCGTTCAGTAGTGACACTCGAGATTCGGAAGTTGGAGTGTTGAGCGCGCGAAATGCATCAAGCGAGCGAGAAGCAACGCGGATAACTCCAATCGCTGATCGTTTTAAGTAAAACCACTTTTGATTTGGCGGCGAGAAGAGAGACGGTGATTGAACCGTCTATATTAACGGTACGAATACTACTACTACGAAAACCCCAGTCGATGTGTCGGAAAACCAGTGAAGGGCAGTGTAGAGATCCGTAAGTAGTCCAGCGTGGAATGCTAATTTCATTGAGAAACGGAAGTCGTTGATAATAATTGGACCAGCAATCAAGAAATTGGATAGGAATTTCATCATCCCACCGGCATTGGAGTGACTACAGTCGCTGCATAAAAATTTTGGCGGTAATACTGACAGGAGTAGCCCATCCTAAAGGATCAAAAAATTTAGCGATTGTCGATAGAATGGCTCGTTTGGTTCGTTCGGGTGATGACAATACGATCACGCGGAATTGAAAGATAGCTAGCTTAGGATTCCAAAGTATTCCTAAAACTTTAAAGTGTTTATCGCCTTGAAGAACCTTATATAAGGTGGCTAAATAATCCGCGAAATCGGACAACAGAGCGGGAGCGTTTTCGAAGGCGGAAGTCTCCTTTCTTTAGTCTACTCTAGAACTCTATCAATTGATCGCGTGTTTGGCGAGCAAGAATTTGGTCGTTTGCGCCGAAAGCAATCGTCAACATATGTTTGATGACGTAAAACGGGAATCGCGAGCGAAAATTCGGCACCTTCATCGTCGAGTTGATCTAAGACCCAAAGGGCTAAATAGGATGCGGCGGCTGTGCCGTAGATAACGGTAAGAAGACGATAATCCATGATTGGTTCACTAGGGATAGGTTCTACGCAATGCGTTGCTAATCTAGAAAGTCAATTAAGATTTGTTGATACATTTTGGCGATATCGGCGGTAAACACGTAACGGTATTAGAAACGGCGTCACTGCATTAGAATAGTAGCTAAATCCCTTTAAAGTTTTTAAGGCTAATGAGCATATGGTCGTACATCGACGTCCCGTTTGAGATGCGGCATGAAGCATTGAAGATCACTCGTAAGCAGGTGGTTGTCACGTAAGAACAGCGTGATGCGGAATATAATAAGTTTGCTCTGATTTGACAATTTCTGTCGGTGGACTTTTAGTCATATACCGAGTGCTTCATACTCTGCGAGAAATTCATGATATTCGAAAGCGTTAATTAGGTCTCAAATTAAACGTTGTGTCAAGCGATGAAAGCTTTCTGAGGCACTTTGTCTCAGAAGCGACGAAGATCACGATCAAGAATTTCAAGAACAACTCCGTGATGCGGAAATTGACTCAGTAGTCAGAAACAAGGCTATTGATCCAAAAAAAATCCAGCCGAGAGTAGTATTTTGCGCGGTATGCTCATGTTCGAAACCTTTTCGAGCAGAATAGATCAACACCGATTATGTCGATCGGAACTCATGGAGTCACGATCGGCAAGTTCGAATCCTATGACGTGTTTCCAATTGTACGCGGTATTGATTCGATTCGGTAAATATTTCGTTAATGATCGAAGTATAAACGCGATCGTAGTATAGGCAGGTCCGTTGCGAAGTAATCGTAATTTGAACAGCGTGATGCACGGACTGCTAAATATTTCGCTAATACCGATAATGGAAACGGAGTGATTAACTCTCGAAAGGCGTAAGCATTGAGCAAGCGATTCGGAGATAAACATAGAGATGGATCCCTGATCAAGGAGCGCGCAGACGATGACAAAATGTTTATGAGGCGAATAAACTTGCACGCGCGCGGTCGCAAGCAAGATTTTGGAGCTCGATGCTACGGTTTTTAATAATAAGTGCGCGACGGCGGGTACATTCTCGCTACTCGTGAGTACGGACGTCGACGGTTGCTTAATGTCAACAGGTTGAACGGATTATCAAAATGTAACGTGTGCCGTTTATTACTGTCGACATGCGCAAGGATTTATACAATCTTTCACGGAATGCTTCGCACTGAAACAGTTCACAGCGTTTCTGATTTTTAATACATTCAAAACGTTGAGATGGCGTTTGCTTTAGGAACGTAGAACATTGATACAATAGATGATTCGCTTTGCATAATAGCACAAGAACGGGAAAATAGAAACGATATGTAAAGCGAGAGTTTTCCTTTTAGAGGTCGTCTGTGACTTCTCCGTTGAGTTCGCGGATATCAAACGCGCGAATACGAAATGCGAGAAATTGATCAAATTCGCAATAACGCAGGTAATCTACGATATCGCCGAGATTCAGTTTCAAAACTTTTCGCGATGACTTATCGAGTTTTTGTGCAACTAGAAAAACAAGCTAATCATCCCAATGTTCGCAACCGAGATTGCTCAGAGCTTGTATTGCTTTATTGGTTTGATCGCGAAGATCGTTGGAGGTTTCTGTCGAAAGCGATGATAAATTGAAAAGCGATTGTAAATGTATCATAATAAGGCGACGTTTATTGTCATATCGAGAAGCGAGAATATTCCACGCGATAGTGAAATTATCATTAGTCATCGCGAGGTGGTCAAGAGCGTTACTTGCATCTTGCCTTTTACATATGAACACAAATAATGCATGGCGCTCGACATTCGTTAAAATCTGATCATCATGGATCATAGATTTAAATTTATCGCGAAAGTTTTCCCATTTGTCAAAATCAACTCCCGTCGAAGGTCGGCAAGTTAAAGATGCGACGATGACCGAGTTATTGAGACCACTTACGTTATATGTAGCGGGACGGAGTTCGCGGACTTTGTGACCGTCCAATACCTCAGTCATGTAGTCAGCAGCTTCGTGGTAATAGTCCTCACATGTCAGGAAGTAGTTCTGAATGAAGTACGCATAGGTTGCCTTCAATTTCTCGTTCGCAGCTAGCGTAATTTTACAATCCAGCTTTTGGTATCTGGCGAAGATCTCCTTGAGGCGTTGTCGCCTGGCACGTGTCATCTTGGCCTGTCCTAGCTTCTTAAAATTAGTAAGTATGCGAGATATAGTGCCCATCTGCTGGTTTTGTATATCATCAGTTCGTCAAGAGATGACTCTTTCCAATGGAAAAGGCACGACTAGGAACGTTCGAGAGTTAAGCAAAACAATAACTTTCCTTGGCGACGATCCGGCTCGAAGGACCAAAATATGTTTATGACGCTGGTGTTACCTCGTATGAAAGGCTCGCTCGCCAAGGCGACGTAATAACGACGACTTTCTTTGTTGTAATAATTTAAACTTTATTGTTGAGCTGACTTACGATTTGTTCGAAGCGGGCAGTAGGCGATGCCTACCTAATCCGATAATTGATGCGTTTAGATTCGTGCACGTGTAATTCGTACTTGATACCATGTTGAATAATTTTTCGAAGCTGTTAGGCAGAATTCATAATGCAAGCATCTTATCCCGAATATTCAAAGCGAACCACACCGAATCGTCGTCGAGTATCAACGCTATATTATGTTCCATAACGTTACCGATATACGCGTACCGCGAGAGCATTCAGTACGAGAATTATCTGAGTTTCCGGCGAGATTTTCCGGTCTCATTGCTGTTCGCATTATGAATTCTGCCTAACAGCTTTTTATTTTGATAGCAGAATTTAACTTAGCGTCACAGTTGATATCAAATTTTTTATACAAATGATACATATCATTAGATTAATTCATTATTTATTTGGTATGGTATAAAAAAATGGGATTTAACTTGGCGCCAGTTTTTTATATCAAATCCTTTGTAGGAATGATGGAATTTGGATACCAAATTAAATACATATTATTAAAGTTAATATTATTTATTTAATTTGGTATCCAAATTACATGAAATTTAACTTGGTCAATTGTTGATATTAAATCTTTTTTACGAATAATACAGAAAATTTTGAGGAATTTAACTTGACGCCAATTTTGTTGATATCAAATCTTTTATGCGAATGATACATATCATTAGAGTTAATTAAATAACAAAAAATAATATCATTTGTGTTTTACTTTTTAATTTATAATAATAGTATTTAACTTCATTGGTTATAGCATCTGTATTTTAATTTTTCATTTGATACATTAATTTTTTTTGAAGAGTAATAATTTTTGATAGAGAATTAAAGTTGCCATTGCTTGGGTTGAAATAAGAAGATTTTCAATAAGAATATCCTTGAAGAAAAACTATTATTTTAATTGAGTTGAATACTTAAGTTTTATTCAAGAAATACGTATGCTTAGCGCCTTTTTTTACCTTTTTTAGAAAGGTAAGTTTGTATTGATATCTCGCATTTTGTAGTGATATCAAAACGACGATCATCTATATACGTATCATTTAGGTTTTATAAATGATACATACCATTAAAGTAAACTAAATTTAAAAATCTCACCACCACCATGATCTTATAATAGTAACATCAAAATATTATAATGATAACACAGAGTCGATACGGCCAAAATGCCGCTTGTGCGGTGAGCAACAAAAAATTCCGAAAAGAATAACATACGCCGAGCATCCTGATAATATTATACTTAAATTCGCGTTTGAAGAGTCGGTCACACTTTCGAAAAACATCCTGCCCAACGAAAAAAACGAGAATAGAATAAAGAGAATGGCGACTTCCGACTAGATCTCAAAGGGAGAGAGTGGTAAACTGCATCACGTAATCCGTCTCTTCTGATTAGACACGGTCATCAAAGCTTCATAGGCATGCAATTTTTATTACTTTTATCACAGTCAAGTAGGAACGCAGAGATAGAAGTATATTACGAAGAGATTTGTTCGCGTCGTTTGCTCCAACATGCTCCTACTTCCTCTAACCATAGCTTCTAACGAGCGCATTAGAGAGCTACGGTTAGAGGAAGTAGGAGCATGTTGGATAATAAGAACGATATACAATCTTGTTGTTTGCTATACTGCTGATTGAGTTAATTGTCGCTAATTATTATAAGTTAATTGGCGTTGATAACAGTCGCCCTATGTAGTCTCAAACAATCTTGCCTTGTATTAATTAGCAGTTACACAAATTATTTTTTTGGCTAGCCAATTTAACTCGTGATATTACTGTGTGATATTACTGCGGTAGTTTAATAGAATTAGCGTTTTCGAGATCGAAAAATCACATTTCGGCACGCGTTTCTGTGAACTACATACGTAGTATATAAATATATAAATTCACACAAGAATCATACAAGCATTTAAGACCAACAATCCAGTTAGACCATTTAAGGCTTTGATTTCTATAGTTTGTGTTATTACACATATGGTCCTATAATATAGGGGTACAAATAAGTTCGTGCGGTTTTTTCTCGAAATTTGGGGCTTTATTGTGAAAAACCGGTTACAATGTAATCATTCAAAGTATTGTCCATCGCTGGCCACTACTTTCTCTCATCTTTCGGGCAATTTGCGGATACCATCTCGGAAAAACGATGTGGGTTTTGATGCGATCCATGAATCGACCCATTTTTTGGTTTCCTCGTAAGAACGGAAATGCTGCTCAGCCAGGACATGTGTCATCGAGCGGAAGAGATGGTAGTCGGTAGGGGCAAGGTCTGGACTATACGGCGGGTGGGGTGAAATGGGTACTTCGCATACTTAGAAATACGGAACGGTGGAATGAAACAGTAGTTACGCCATCTCTTTCAAAACCGCACGAACTTATTTGTACCCCTAATATATATATATATATAAGGCGTATGACTTTGCTCATATGGTTTTTTTCCGAAATTTGAGGCTTTATTGTAAAAAACTGGTTATACATTTATAATTCAAAGTATTGTCCATCGCTGGCCACTACTTTTTTCCATCTTTCGGGCAGCATACGAATCCCGCGTCGAAAAAACTGTTGGTCATCTTTTGAGGCGATCCACGAAT